ATATATATTAAACATTTCCAGTAAGAAAATTCAAATAAACAAACATATTTCCCAATTTTCTGTCAAAAATTACTGCGATGTATATTTTGCACTCTATTTCGCACTCTATCAACTATAATCATAATTATCTATTATGTAGATGTATAACTATTTTAACATAAATATGAAATAAATAAAAAAATACATGGTATAGAAAGGTTATTTATACATATGAAACAGCTGCACATAATAAAAGAACCAAATTTTAATTAAAATATGCTTCCAATTATCCTTACGTTGAAAATAGGTAAAAAAAAAAAACGAGTGAAAAGTTGGTACAGAAAATTTGGAAGCTACATTTTACGATGTTTTAAATTACAGTTCTCAGCTGTCGTTACACAATCTACTATAATATACCATTAAAAATCTTATTTCCTGTGAAAACAAGATAACTAATCAGAAATTGATAGTTAAATGAATTTGATAGCTTTTGTGGTATATGAAGTTGCTAAAAATAAATTACTAATTTTCCCTAGTAACACATTTCATTGGCGTTACATTGGTTCAACATTAACCAATGTTGAGCCAATGAAACGCCAATGAAATTACACTGGCGTTACATTAGTTCAACATCGGCCAATGTAACGCTAATGAAATATGCTACTAATTATAAAAACTTATTAGGAATAATTATAAAAAAAGAAGAAAAACCACTACTAAGATTTCATAAACTTGAGCAGTAATAGTTTATCCTTACAGCTTTCTCGTTCTTCCTCTATCTTTCTTTAAAAAACTTCCGTAAACTTTCGTATTTGGTAAGTAAAATTTTAAATCAGCAAATTAAGTTTATCTTAAATAGGAAAATACATTTTAAGCAAAGCACTACTATGTATATGTTACCTAATAATCCCAAGAAGATGAGAGGCAGTATCGTCGCATATACGGACATCATGAGCGAATCGTAAAAGCATACCAGTAATTTTGAGTCTATTAGCTATTAAGCAAATTGTAGTAATTTATCCACCGACACATCTCTCTCTTCCTTTCTCTCTCTTTCTCTCTTCCTCACCCTCTCTTTCTCTGTCTTTCCCTCTCTCCCACCTTTATATAGAAAACACGCGCGACACGATTTATGTCATTTTCACAATTAAATCATCGCGATGCTCGTAACCTCCGAACCAGAAACATATTTTCGTCGATGCGTTACGCAAATTGCGCCAGCACGTAATTAACTCACACGCGATTTCCTAGTTAAATTAGACGAGGATTTCCATTTTTGGAAACGTTAAGACAGTGTACGGCGGACGCATGTAGCGCACAGAATGATGTGTAAATACGGAGCACGTACGAATTGTGTACTTATCATAGACACAAGGATATAGTACGACGGAGCATAATATCGTGGGACTGAAATCCAAGGGATAGAAGACATTTGATGTCTAAAGTCACGGTTCGCTGTTAATATGGCGGTCTAGCATTTTTCTCTCGGCCATCGACTAGTTGCTATTAAAGATCGCTCGTCTAAGAGTGAAAATGCGCACGGGCTCCGCTGGAGCCAATCGAGTATGCGAAGCTAAGCTAATACTTCATTTGTCGCACGAACGATAGGTGGTGTTGATTGGCTATCGGATAGAGAATTTCTTACGCTCCCGAGGAGGACTCTAGACATTCCCCGTCCGACGGCCAATCGCGTGAATGAGACAAAATATTCGTACGAGTGGCGGGACGCAAAATGTATTAGGTTGGTGCGTATGAAATGTCGCATTCTCTTTACATGCGGACGTTTTCCTCCCTGTTTTCGTTATACTTTTGTATTTGGCATAACCTCATTCATACTCGTATTGTCCATTGCCAGAGACTCATTTCAACAAAATAGGTTTTCTCGAAGGTCTTCCCTTTTTTATTTCTTTTGAGTTTATTACCGATATGAATTCTGCCGACATTCGCGTCATTTTCTTATATGAGTACAAACTTGGTAATAGTGCTGCAAAAGCTGCACGCAACATAAACCAAGCGTTTGGGGAGAATACGGTTAACAATCGGAAAGTGCAGCGTTGGTTCGAAAAATTTCGGACTGGCGATTTTTCACTGCAAAATGAGCCGCGCGGAAGACCCAAAACGTCTGTGAATAATGATGACCTGAAGGCTCTAGTGGAAGCGGATCCAGCCGTATCCACGAGGGAACTTGCTATCAGGATGAAAGTTGACCATACAACGATATTGAGACACCTTTCTGAGATTGGCAAGGTTAAGAAGATGGACAAGTGGGTACCGCACGCACTGACAAAGCGAAATAAGCTGGATCGGTTAAACGTATGCTCATCATATATTAGATTTGATTAATATATTAGATTTGAAAGAGGAATATATTAGATTTGATTAATATATTAGATTTGAAAGAGGAAGACACTTGTTTTTAACCAGAGCACACTACGTTTATTTCCTCATAAAACATATTTAGAAACAAAATTCTGTACATTAATGCACAAAACGTCAATTTAACATCAACTAACTTAAATCTAATTATATCTAACAGGAAAGCTGAAGTTTCGTGTCATCCAACATTTAATGCGAGACAGAGGGCTTATTCTCCATAATACACTTCGCCAGGTTTGCTCCCTTCCTGCAACCGGTTCCAGCTGAAACGATATTCGTCTTTTATTTTGTTTCCTCGCTCGAGCGAACATATCAGTATTAAACGCGAAATCACAGAATAAATTGTTGGCTGTGGCTGCATTCCGTAATTCATTGTCAATACTAAAAATCTAGTTTATTACGTATATTGTAGATTTTCAGTACTGGCACTCAGTGAATTACGGAACGCAACCTGTAATTGTGGACATAATCGATCTTGCGTTTTGACGAAAGGCGGTTTTGCTTAGTCAGATCGATGTTTAAACTTACTAATGCCTTGGCAATTATTGATCACGCGATCGGCGTCCTCCTGTGATACTCCCGGAGGTATCTTTGTGCGAGCCACTTCTACGTCGATATCTCCATTCTCCTTCATCTAGAACACGCGTCAAAATATAAATTTTCTCATTTGCTCGTTCATGTGCCGAAATAATGAAGGTATCATTTTTGCACGTACAATTCCAAATTTCTTGAACATGCATGTGGTAAAGCAGGCAAGTTTCTCGTCACTTTCATCGGCCGTACCTTCTTTCGCATTTTTCACGACGTCTGAAAATCGGATTGAATCGATCGACTTTTCTTAAATCATATGTACATGTTTAATCTTTTTCTTTTTTATTATTTTTTGCTTACTCGGATCGACGCCGGATTCACTGATACAGCGTTCTTCGTACACTTTTACTTTTTCCTTCTGCTCGTTCGTGAGTTCACCCTAAAATCAAACGAGTAGTCGTCTTAAATTATTACAATCTAATTCAATTCGAATCTGAATCTCTATGATTCGAATCCGAATAATTCGAAAATTTCGAGTCGAGCAGATTCCTAAGACGAAACACGCACATTGACGAGATATTATTAAAGACGTCTTACGAGAATTGGCATGACTTGAAATATCCGCTGTATGTTAAAATCCTCTTCAAAAATATTAAAAACTATAGCTCAAAATATCCCAAACAGTATAAATTGGTTAGCTAACTGTTGTCTAACATTGGCCAAACCTTCCTGTTAGATATAATTGAGCAACGGTTAGCCAACCAATTTATGCCGCTTGGGATCGACAAAAGAGATACTCTTAAAATATTGTGCGTATTTAAATAAATTTGCAGTTAATATAGTATCAAATCTGTGAATAATTGAAAAGCGTTGACATTAGCGACAATTTTTAATTATTTGATATAAATATCAAATTATAGCTTATATCACAATATTAATTTTACAATTTATAATTATTCTAACGTGAGTCTTGTAGATGCGCATATATATTTACAATGCATAGTATATTTTTAGGAAACTGTGCATTTCTAAAATCACTCAATTTCTGCATAAATTGTAAATAGTCGATGATATCAATTCTTCAAAGTATTTTAATAATTGATTTATAATCTTTCACCTAACTGTTTAAATTTACTGCTATTCTAAGTAAAATATATTTTATCATTATCAATTTTATTCTAAATATTTAAATATACATATCTTTTTTTTTTTAAATGAGTTAATATTACAAGTTGACATCGATGTTATCCCTTTTATACCAAAGTCTTTTCTTATTATCTTCATGTTGAATTCAATGAATTTGTCTGACTTCAAGTTGTGTTGCTTTCATTTCGACGCAATTCGTCGCGATATCACGTAAATTTATCGACAGCAGACGATTAAATGCAACACGTGTATATTGCAGCTTACAATACATTTTAAATATATACATGATTAACATTAAAATAATTTGGTCTCACCAGAACGGCGACGAAGGAGACTGCGAGTATAACGGCGATGATCTTCATGTTCGACTTCTGTTTCGACCTGAAACGACGGGTTCACGATCAACGGATGACTGAATACTCGGAGGATACTGTCTCGAGTTTTTATAGCTTGAGACATGATGACGATGATGAATATCTCCTTTTTCACGAGCTGCGAAGATATTCGAGACAGTTATACCGTTATGCCTTCAGGGACATGTTTTATTATATCATACTCACGAGACAAATAGTAGTAGGAAATAATACATATACATCTTATGCTTCGAAACCTGTTTAATAAGAATACTAATAACGGGGCTACGATATGAGTTATGAAAGGACATTAATTCTTTGACATAAAACCGCAAGCGACATGTCAGTAACGAGACGAAAAAAACGTTATAATCATCTTTAATTGTTTAGTTACACAACGATTGCACAACGTGACGATGACAATAGATACGAGACATAATCTGACATCATTTAATAACCTTTTGTATCATTAGTATAGTTGGTTATCTCTATTTTTATTACTTCTTGTGCCAGCGTTTTTTTCCCATGAGTTATTACACGGACAATCTTTTAGAGATTTGCAAAGATTGCTTCCTGTCAACACGAATGAAACTTTACATCTGATGTCTTTCCTCGTATTTTTCTGATTACCAAAACTTAATAGTGAATATTCGTCGCGATATCACGTAAATTTAGCAGACGATTAAATGCAACACGTGTATATTGCAGCTTACAATACATTTTAAATATATACATGATTAACATTAAAATAATTTGGTCTCACCAGAACGGCGACGAAGGAGACTGCGAGTATAACGGCGATGATCTTCATATGATCTGAATAGGTTAACGTTTATATAAAATAAAAAATAAAGAACATAAAAGAGAGGGAGAGAAAAAGAGAGAATAGTAAGAACAATTATATTATCGACAAGGATAATCGATAAGAAAATGCGTAGTAACGAATATACGAGTCGGTTTTCCTTTGAATTGCACTTATGCCAGAATCTATTCTCAGAAACTCGATTATTCCATAATATACCACATTATTTCCATAATATACCACAGTATAGCTTTAAATAATTTTCCTGTTGCATTCTTGCTTGCAGTTTGCAATCACATTAATAAGTGGCATTCGGTCTTAAAAGATCGCCATGGAGTTATAGGATAATTATTTAAAATTAAAAATATCTAAATTAGAGAATATTTGACATTTTTTTCATCACACCAACAATTATCAGCTTGACGTTATATTTATTTGTTACACTTAACTACCGTTGACTCTATTTTATTTGTTTTTCGACTTCGTACTTTGATTCGTATGAGATTCCTTTTGTTTAATTAACTTGTGAATAGACGCTTGTACTGACACACGAACAAATAAATATTTCTCTGTTTCATTTTTGTCTGCAACATTGGCGCTTGCAATACCTTGTCTCCATATTACCATTTACTTTTGAATTTAGCGAAGTGGCGCCAATAACATTTGAGCGTCACAATCTCAGCTATAAACAGCAGTTCTTTTTCTAACAAAATTTATATAACCAATTATGGGTTAAATAGTTTGCTTACGTGATGCGTCATTTTCTCAATAAAAACGTTCGAATCTCAAGTTCAAACAGCTCGTACGACTCGATCAGAAGCGATGGTCGAGCCGTTTGATCGATTCGCCATTTTCCTAGATTCGACTGTTCGAATAATTCGAAGACGTCAAGAAAAATCGAATGAGAAATAATATTTGTTGTAATTAACAGTGAATAATTAATATATTATTAAAGAATATTTGATGATGTTAATAGGATACTTTGCGTACATAAAGTATTTGAATACACATATGCACCTTTGGAAATCCCGGAACTGTCCTGAATGAAGCCCCGAGCTCCAATGTCGGTCTTAACCTAAGTCTTACGCTTAAATCGGAGTTGCCGTTGAGAGCAATTAAATGGATTGATTTAGCTGACGAGCAATATGAAAATACAATTGCCAAACTATCGTGTGAAACATGGGGGACAAAGGTACTCGGTTATCGTGTCTTACACAGCGATTGTGCACAATGTTACCCTACAAGTTACTTTTGTTTCTAGTCCGTTTCTACACGTAAATATATATTGAATGCGTATCTAAAAATATAAACGCGTGTGATTATATATACGTATTGTTTATTTAAAACAAGGCGTGTTTTGCCACGCATACAGTTAGGTTAAGTTAATTATGCAAAAATAAATATTAATGGAAATTTTGCTTACTTTTATCATATTACATCATAGATTTGTAAAATGCATTTTAGATCTATTCCATGTTTTTAGAGCATCATGTGCACTTTAGTGGCGGGAGTGGGCTTGGAAAAGATAACAACATTATGATACAACCGCAACGGCATGGTCATATAGACGCTCACTTGGGATTCTTGCAACTGCATCACAGGTTTCTCGCCATGCAAAATTTGTAGATCACAATTATCATCTCGGGTTCTAACAATGTGATACAAAGGATAGAGATTTTTAGATAGTTCTTATCAAAATACAAACATCACATATTTATTAAAAGTTTTGTCCTCATATAACATGATACACACTTGTATTCCCACATATATATTGCACACATACATTGCACTTGAAAAAGTAAACAGTAGATATATTCCATATTTTTGTTTCAGATATCATGTAGAATTTTCAGTACCATGGAACACGTGTATTCATCTGGAGGGAAAGACGGTAGTGCCTACGATAATTGCAGAAAATCAAAATGCCAATTGTCACGTTGTTGACTTTGGGCAAGAAAAAGATGGCTTGAGGTATGAAATTTCGTTGTGTATATAACTTTCGCCATTAATCGACATGCTTCTTTCAAGTTCATCCAGACTTGATAATTGGCTGTTCCTTTAGGTTAAAGGTGGAGCTGTTAGCTTACAAAGAGAAAATACTAAAGGAGGATATTGAAGTAATGTGTTGCCGATCTGGTACGCCTTTGAAGATTGTGTTGAATGCACGTGTCTTGGCAAAGGATAAGGGTACGCCATTGTTGAGAAATGGCATACGTAGCATTGCCATAGAAGGGACGGACGAAGACGAGGTCTCTGAATAGATATGTCTATTGATTTATCTCTTGATATCTGAGTATTAAGCTGCTGAGCGTGCTAAGTAGAACCAGGGAGCCAGTGGTCGAAAGAATTGAACAAACGCGTCAGCATCACCGAAGCATTCCAAGATGGAGCAGGCGGAGCGAAACGTGAATGGCCAATGGTTTTGGATCGCTGCGCGAGATAACTTGCCTACTGTTTGCGGTCTTAAGGCTATATCACACGCGAGATGCCTAAAAGTGCACACCACTTATCGTTTGTTGATTATGGTACATGCAGATTATAATGAGCGACTAATATTTTGTTATATCCTTTTATATCGATTGTCAATTTTTCAACGAAGCTTCGCTTTCGCGCTAGATGAACACGTTTACAAAAGTATTAAGACACTTCTCAATCGTTCGTCGGAGAATCAAAAGATGAGTCGATCATTCGAATAAACTAAACGATAAAAAAAAAATCATCGTGTGGCTTACGTGGTAACCATCTTTGGCATCCTTATTTGGCATCTCACCGCCGATTTGTCTCTCCTCACACAGACACACACACATGCGCACGCGTATTCACATTGCGTAAAATTAAATTTGCAGGTAATGAACGTCTTTATCGTTAGGTTTTCTTTCGAAAGCAACTTCTTAGTCATGACAGATCTTAACAGCGGAAGTTGAATCTTTTCATAGGTATCCCGGTTGGACCGTCTACGAATTCGCAAATGTTAAACCCCAGTTTCGCCAGCGGGTGACAGTTGCTGCTCGGGTTACCCCATTTGCCTTTAAAAGTCATCCAGCCGGGTAAGGCCTCGTTATCTTCTTCCGGGAGTAGCTCCAATCTCTTCCACGTCGGCCAGGCAGTTCCGAATCCGCTCTCGTCGTACAGACGAGGCACCCGGACAAATTTATGCTTCCCCGGAGCTGTCCAGAGCCCGTGAGAGCCGCGCGCGCTAAATAGAATCGGATGCGAGCCGCTGGCTGTGTAAACCTTCTCGGGGAACGTCGGCTTCTGAAAGAGGCCCTTTCTGGTCTCCTGACTCTCGTAGACGAAAGTGCCGTTTTGCGGGTCGTATCGGTAAAATGCGCCCGCGTCGTGCGCCGACACGTACATCGTCAGAGGGTGCTCCTTGTCCTAAACGACGACATCGGACGACATACGGGATTATATTTGATACATAGATGCGCTTATGTGATAAAAGGAGAAAGAGCTCTTTAATTTTGAGGGCGTTATCAAGGCGACAGAGGAGACTTACCTTGAAATACAGACTCATGTGCTCCCAATCGCCGATATGACTGCCGTATCCTTTGAGCGTGCCTATGCATACGCCGGCCACGGTGGGTATCGGCCAGCTGCCGAAAAATCCGAGATCCAGCACGCAAATCGTCTTTCCCTCGCTGAACGGATAGAACATCCAATAGGTTACGTGAAAGTGCATCTTCCGACGAAATCTGTTCTCTCCTTGCCTCTTGTCGATACCCGACCCCGTCGCCGTCTGCAAATGAGTTTCACGTGAGAGAAAACAGAAGACGGGGGTCGATCCGAAGGCTCACTTCGACGACCTCGTGACCCTCGATCGGAGCGATTATTATCGAGCGGAGACGAGCGGCTGAGAGAGGCGGGTGAGCCTGTCGTTCGCCTACACTCGTGTTTTACCTGCCTGTCGTATTTTTTCTACTATTTGTGCTGTCAGGTCGCCGGTGTCAGGCCGTCGCTCGACCGAGAGTTCATTATTGCTTATCAGCGTTAGAACGTTCTGGTCATTCTTCGGCGTCCGACTCGACGTCGGCGTCTTCTCCGTGGAAACGCACTTCTTCGTGAGAGCATAGACGGGCACGGTTCCGGCGGGTTTCCGGCCGTACAGGAAGGACGATTGATTCCTCAGTAAGGATTCTGTATCGGAAGTCCTCCGTTTTAAAGCATATCGATAATGATCGTGATAACATCATAAGTACACCGAGAGAGAAAATATCTAAAAAGCAACAAATATTTATTCGGTGGATGCTAATAATACATTTACTTATATTTCTAAATCTTTTTGTTTAAATAGAATAAATAATTGCTTCGATTAAAGCTGCACATCTAAGAAAATAGATATTTCTGCATTGGAAGAAAATGTTTCTTTCAGTATAAAAATATGTATATCAGTATAAGTAAATATATTATTAGTACCTGCTGAATATTTTTTATTTCTTGGATATTTTTTCTCTCGTGTATATCCGAGACGAGCTAATAGGTACCGAGAGGACACAAATACGAGAGAACGAATTCCTAAAAGACGTCTACAAGAAATAATGGGACGTCTTTTAGACACTCGTGTTGCCAGGTGTTACTTGAATATTGGCGGAATTGCGAGTTGCAGGATAATTTCTAAAAGGCAGTTGTTTTCCAAAACTTTCCGTTATCTACTTCCCATAATTTCTCGAAGATACTCGAGATGTTAATAATTATCGGTCCACCCTGTATATCACGGACTACTTATACGGTGCAGTTCCATTTCGAACATTTACCTACGTCTATTCTAGTGCGAAGGTAATATTGGTCCGACTGCACGTTATCCAGGAATTCAGGTACGCCGAGGGGCAGGAATCGTTCTCCAGGCGCGAGCCATACCAAAGGTGCCCAGTCACGTATCAGTCTTCTCACTATTCGACAAGATCGTTAAATGAGAGAGTATGGTATGTAATCCTTGCGACGACAAAGCGCGATATCCGATATATCTTGCAATATTATCCCAATTGTTATATACGCGCTTATATACGCGAAGGAATATGTGCACACGTGCATACACGCAGAGGTATACTTATGTGTATGCGAGTGTATATGTGTGGCACTACCTGTCTCCGTCTTCGCTTATCGCGAGAAACGGGCACGTAGGTCACCGTGAGATTCTCGTAACCCCATTATGCATCTAAGAGCGGTAAAACAAACTCGTTCACACTCGCTGTTGGAAATACATCGAGTATATATATATATATATATATTTTAATTTATTACATGTATATAAAATTAGAGCCATTAGAAGCAAAAGGGCTATTAAATTTGTATAGGACGATGTTTCATTTTGGTTTACGCGTTATGCTGCTCATAACAGCTACGAAAGAGTAGAGAGGCAGCTCTCGTTGGCGATCCTCGACTCGAGTCGCTATAATATATTGCATCGTTAGAGCGCGACTAACGAGATAAACAACACGAACGTAACAAGTGGAAATATCCGTTGTTACTCCGTATTTATTTCTGTCATTATAACACGCGCGAGCGTCCTTTGAGGATACCCGAACACGGACAAAATTGAAAATTAACGCGCGGCTCTACCCGCTTCGACTCGCTTTGCTTCTTTCGACGATCGTGGAACCGGTCCAGAAATGGGACGACCGATGTTTAACCCTGCAGCGTGCGAATAAGCGGAGCGGTTTAACGGAAGGAGAACATCCTCCTGTGTGTGCCGATTTAATCGCACTCTCGGCTTGAGCGCGTTTCATTGTTGGACTTTCGGCGGCGGCGAAAAACAGCGAGTGGAAGCGCGTTACGACACGGGCGATTTCTATCGATCGGTCAATTGATATGTGATATTTGATATATCTGACGTACACTCCGTGTTTTCCGTTATCGTGAAAGGAACTTTTCATACGGTTGAAACAGATACAAGCAGCGAAGAACCGTGAAGAGCGCGGGGCGTCATCTTAATTAACACCTGTTTCAACACCTATTAGTTACTATGCAATGTCGGCCGGTGAATTCGACAAATGGTAGCTCTCCTTTCCTCGTAAATTAGATACAAGCGAAAGGAGAGCAAACAATGCACCGCCGAGATACCATATTTAAAATTCACCGACGCGCGATTCGACGAGATATTTCAAACACGTGCTCGAGTATCAAGTGCATCGCGTATACGTGAAATTGATCACCGGTTGATTCGGGTATATCGATATATATCCCGACGTGTAGCAGTGAGCCGACAGAAAAGAATGAATAAATCGTCGCGCTTGCAAGGATCCCCTTGCGTCGACGTGACGCAGCAATGAGTTTACGTACCCCGTCTCTCCTTGGCGGCGGGTAGGCGCGATCCTGTGACCGTGTGAGTTACAATCAATGTAATGAACAATAATCCGGTCATGTTCGTTCCATTGATACATTTTGACGCGAAGAACGGTGCGATCGGTTCATCCTTTCTCACTGTTGCCGCATGTTCCCGGGCCGACTCGCGTAATCCGCGCCCACGAGAGCAAGAATGACGCGGAGTCCCGTCCGTCGCATCCACCGGCTCGAAACGCTTCCCGAAGAACTGGCTGTAAAGCGCGACCACCTCGCTTTCCATGCCGGACTCATGCCGCTCACTAGACAAACGTTACAGAACGCGCCGTTGCGTCGCACGTGCAACGTACGTCGTCTCTCGTAATGCCAGGAACGCGCGCGTACGTGTCCATCATCGTCGTCATACCATGTGTGCTCGCGATATTACGAAAGAGAAATCTAAATCCGCTTACAGTCAAACGAAAAGGAAAGCAGAATGAGTGTAGCATATCATTATATTCGCTTCAATAATTCGTACAACTCAGTTTTCGTACAACTCACACGATAGCTTAACACAGTTAATTTTACTAATTAATTTACCTCATCGCGATATGAATAGAACTAATTTGTTATGCGTATAATTGGCGTGAGCAATCGTGTAGTGTTCGCTGAATACGTAGGAAATTAGCCTGAAATGAGCTCTAGATATAAATAATTAGAAGTATGAAAATAATTAATATAATAATTTAATTTAAACGCCTGCGTTATTTCAGCTTAGCTATTAACGCGCGACTATACTTTGTTGATATCTTATTTCTTAAAATACGCGAGTTACAGTTATGTGATTAAATCAAACTAAATGAAAAATAATTTAATCCAGTAATCTCATTTGATGGACACTCTCTATAACAAATTTAAATGATATATAATAATTAGATTTGTATGTTTGTATCGTTTGTAAATTGTAGCGTTATCACCTTTTTACGTTCAATTGCCAGATGATATGCAACTGATCTCAATTGAAATTTAGAACATTGGCTGAAAATTTCCCTGTTTTTGTTGTAACGTTACTGTTGTCGCAATTCTTACGAAGCTCTTATTTTCTATCTCATATAAAGTAGCCGAACCTTCGGAAAACCAGAAATTTGAAAAATATCTCGATCAATTCAACAAGTGATATCTAGTGTAGAAAGATTATAACAACTTCACAAATTCTATGTGATATTCTGTGGTACTTCGGTTATATATCACATGGTGTAACCATGATAAAAATAAACATCAATGTTTGCCAATGGCTGTAGAAAACGTTCCAAAGGAAATTGTGCGGCGTTTGTAACAAATTTATGTAGTGCGCGCGATGAATCTTCTGCAATTAGGACATGGGGCCTGTAATGCAAAATAGTATGTCTGTAAATCTACGTTCGCAGTTGAAGGGTTTGTACTTGCATCGTTATCTTCATGTATTATACCGTAGGATTGTAAGATCTCAACTGTTTAATGCAGTCCTGGTGGAAATTATGTCTACAAGGTTGTAGTTGTATCACATCAGATCCAACTATCGCGTATTGGCAGATTGAACAGTTATTTATATCTTCGCTTCTCATGTGATTTCTTTCTCTGCCACTCTCTTTCAATGAAGAGTTTGACAAGTTTCTTCTATTTAATTTACCGCTAAAAACAAACAGCTGTTATAAAAATATGCAACACATATCATGTTATCTCAATATACATCATCTTTTCTCTCTCAAATACAGTATGACATTGATCTTCACATTTAAATTATATACCTTGAGTAAACCTTATATACTGAAATATACAATAATCTATGCTGTTCAAAATATTGACATTAAAGGTACATATGTATAATAGTTAACTATTAATGTCCTTTATTATTAACAAGCACAGATACGTGTATACTTTTGTATATATGTTAAGACACTGATGCTTTTCAGACCTATGTGACGAAGTAGGTTGAATCCCCCAGTCGTAATGATCCGGTGCTCTATCGTCTGCATAGTTATACTGTTGTCTTTGATCATTCTCACTATTGTTTTCAGCGAACATATAATAAAGGAACGTTGCTAATCCAATTCCAACTCCAACAAGGAGTACCAGTCCGGGATACGTCATTCTTAATACGACCACTCGAGCGAGTTAAACACGACAAATGTGTCAAAATTCTCCTTTAATTCTCATCACTCCTGGTGTAGCTTCTGTTATTTCCTGCCATGCGTATCTCCAGTACGGGTACATGTGCGGGAATCCCCGTTCTTTCTATCAAAAGTGAGAAGCTAACCAGCTACCGCACTTGTCCGGTGTTACGAGAAGAAAAGACGAAGACCCAACGACTTCACAGGAGAAGAGAGACGAGGATAAAAAAAATCGCGCATGTGCCATATAAACTGGTGCAATTTCCCTCAGTCACGTACATACTTCGTTAAAATTTAGGGTATCGCTAGATCGCTCATGGCGAAGGGATGGGAAATGAAAAGGAAAAATTATGAAGAAAGAAGGAGAATTCATTTCAAATCAATTTCATGTGATTCATATTTGGTAGTATGTAAGTAATAACAAAGAAAAAAATAGAAAATATATACGGGTGTCGAGGAACGGCCCCAGTATTGCATCTAAGCACGAGTATGTTCACTCCGGTCACGTGATTCGTCATGTACTTTACACATGCGTACAAAGTTCCCGCCGGGGGAAATTTTCTCCCTGTCGCAGCATTCTGATAGATATCTCACACTGCTTTTGTATAATAACAGAACATAGCGTTATACCCGGAGCTAACCTAACCTGTTACAACTCAACCTAACCATGCAAGTGACAAGAAGTGCGTTCCTTTTAGCTACTTATTTTGGCTGCGTTCGGAAAGCATACTTTCAATACTGTTACGTTATTTTATCTTTGTTTTATGTCTAATGAGCGATAAAAGATAGAATAGTGCAATAGCGCTGACAGCGTGCTCTCCGAACGCAGGCTTTGTATATTTCTTTACAATCTTCCAAGTTTCGAAGCAATCATGCCAACCTCATTTTAAATGCAAAAAGTGTAATATGGTGCAGCTAAAAATAGGCTTGAAATGATAAATTATTAATTAACCTCAGAGTTTCTAATAGGAGAGAAGCTCTTTCAAGCTGACGGCACACGGTGCTGGTTTCGTGCTGAATTACTTGCTGGACAGAAATACTTTCTGATAGAAATACGTTCTGATTGGTGCATTTCCGAAAATGAATGGGAATATACCAATAAGAACGCAGTATTTCTATCGAGCACGAAAGCACTGTGCGCCGTTGGCTTAATTAATCAATCGGAATCTCTCTTCATATAATAGACTGAAAAAAAGTAAAATAGGTTTATTCTTTATAGCTGCATATTTTTAAGTTATTACGTAATTTTCTGTTATCTCTTTTACTTTTATATATCTACTTTATTTGAAGTACGAACAGAGCGACTTGTTATAAAGTACAGATCTAATAAATAAAATGTATTAATTTTCTAATGGCATTTCCGATTTAATTCCGTTCGGAAACGATTAAATTCAATTATCAACAAACTCGTGTTTGACCGGCAGCGATTAAGACGTATTTGGACGTGACAAATCATAAAATCGTTATATAATATAATACTAATGCCATACTAATCGCCCCCGTGTTCTACGTCCCTGGTCTCAGTCGCTCAAGCTGGGTTTTTAATATGCTCTTGTGACCATAGATGGCCATACCGCCGCTTCTTTAGCCATTTTGAATCAGCCGAGATCGTTGGCAGTTATAAAGTGATTAGTGAACAGACGACGCATCGATGTATTCTTATGGATAAAATACAAGGTGTTAATTTCATGGCCTTATGAGAAGATTCATCTTCGCTTGAGATGCGACGCAACACGTTTAGGAGATAGAAGTGGAAGGGGTATGGTGATCTCTGTGTAAGTGAATTACTCATTTATATATTATTATTATTTTATTATAAAGGATAGTATGTTATATAGACACAGTTTTCGGAGGTGCAGTCTTGCGAATCTAGATAGACTCTGTACCTCTGTACATACAAGACTATATCCATTAAAAAGTAACATTCTTCCTATTTATTAGAATATTTCTGTATTTATTTATAGACGGTATTTACAGCCAAGGAGGAAAAGTTTTATTCTCTAGTGTTCTTGAAAAAAGTGACAGAGCGACTACTCAACTTTGTCATTGATTTCTCTTTTTATGTTCATACGTTACGTTGTATCCCGGGTAGAACAAAAAATCACAATGACATCAAGATGACGTCAGGATGATGAGAAAATGATTATAAAACTCATTTTACTATCATTTCCTCATCATTTTCACGTCATCTTCACGTCATCTTCATTTTCCACTCTACCTGGGAGATATATTTCGACCTGTCGTGTGTGTCACGCGATATTTCATGAAACCCTCCCGCTAGAATTTGGTTAGTTCTTCGCTGCGAAATGCCGATTCTTGCATGAAAAGAAGTTCAAAGTGGGATTGAATCGGTTAAGGACGATAGGTGGCACGTAAGAAGAGAGAGAGAGAGAGAAAGAGAAAGAGAGAAAGAGGAAGAGAGGAAGACATTTCGGTATCGAAGAAGTAAAATTCTTTTAGGCGTTCGCTACTTTTGTCGAATTTAAATATAACCTCACGCATTTTCGTTCACTGGCTGCACGTGTGTAGCGAATTGACGAGACACTATTAGTACGGTAGAATTCGATCGACGTCTAAAATAATAACATTGTCGGTTCCATGTGTAACATATACGTGTATATATGCCACCACGATCGGAACGCTCGCCTCGCCGGGCGATAATGAAAGAGACGATTTGTCCTTGTTTTGCCGTCCGCTTCCGACGCGAATGGTAATGGCTTCTTGCGCCGAGACCTTGCCGATATATATCGCTCGCATCCGCCTAAAATCGCTCAATTGGTCGCTTGCGATCGTAATATATAAACTTTAACAAAATATTCATCAACTAGACTGGATCTCGCTAGAGCGTAAAATTCCTCGATAAGGCGTTAAACGGCTCTCTCGTTAAAACGATTAGTCGCGCGATGCGTTAATCTATAGTCGCGAGGCGCTAGCGCGAATACGAGCACGGCTTCGAACGGATATCGTCGGGAGACATTTCGTATCTACGGGAAACGTTCCACGCGAAGAGCGAATAAGTCACGCGTCGCAAAGTGTGTTAACGACGGGAAAGAAAGTCAGAGGTTGAAAGAGTTTTCGGTGGCCGAGGTCGTCATTGTACGGATAGATATTGAATCAGTTGTTTTCAACGATAAAATAACGTTTCGCGAGTTTACAGGGCGATCTCTCCTCTTAATTTGCACGGGATATCGCCTCCTTCCCTCCCCTCCCCTCCCTCCCTCTCGACAGAAGTATCACAGCGCGTCGAGGCAAGTTTGAAAACGCGCGGAAGTTTCAAGTTACTTTGAAGTTAGAAATCACTTCTCGCTTACTTTTGCAAGCAATCCCGGCACACGCGCCATTTGTTAATTACTTTTATGAGTACTCACGAATACTTGAGACCACCGAGATTGGGAGGGGGATAGTTTATTTTTTTTGTTACAACAGGAGATAAACGTTACGCATTTCTATTTAACGACGGGAATGCTCGATACTCCTATTGATCTCAGCGGAGGGGGAGTCGCGCGGCGCGTTAATTGACGTATAATGAAGTGGGATTAAAATAAGAAGCGGACAGACCAGTATACATCGCGCTACGCGCTGCCGCGAAAGTTTAATAAGGTGAGGGCTTTGAAAGAAAAGGGCTCGGGAGCCCTTCCATTCAGAAAAATCTCGCACGATCGCGTTAAGCACAGCGGTCGTAAGTCAAAAGCAGAACTTCTCCGACTTTTTTTCCCATCTTTAAGGGCTGTCCCATATCTCTTCCCGTATACATTCATATCTACGACCTGTTCCCTTTCGCGAAACTACCTGCGCGCGCGCGCGCGTTTTGTCGCGAAAAGAGCGAGAAATAGAGATAGATAGAGGAGACGCGATCTTAATTTGTATAATCGATTTGTATAGATCCGATCGTGCAACTTCACGTTTGACACTATGTTACCTCCCCCCCCCCTTTTCCCGCTAACGAGGAGGCCCCGTCGAGTTTATCTAATTTGTCACGGGCGGCGTCTAGCTTGGTCTCGCACAATTAACTCGAGTCGCGCCGAATAGTATTGGATGATTAATCGCGCGGACTGGCGATTCGCTGTTCCTCTTCCTTACGTCGTAATTCTATTCTATGGTATACAAACGCCTCCAAGACGATTGGATCGATTCAGAGGTAGCGATGATTCACACCGATGCAACCAGTCCACGGGCGGCGGGGTCGCGTGTAATTCAACAATTCCACGTGTGAAAGGGGCGACGCCTTCTTCTTCCCTGTACGATCTAACACGGAGGAAACACCTAGAGGTTTCTCGGTCTCTCACGTCCGTCGCGTCTCACGACTCGCCGGCCGGTTATTTTATATATCACGTTGATTTTTACAAACGCCCCCCATTCGTTTTCATTCACTTCTTCCTCCCCTCTTCCCTTCTAGCCATCCTTCCTGCGGGAAGTCGCACGATACACTCACAGGTCACACTCGCTCGTCTCTCTCTTTCTCTCTCCCTCTCCCTCTCGTCGATTAATCGCGATTACGTTCGACACGAGCAACCTTAATCTCGCGGGGGAGCGTTCGAGAGCGCTGTACGCTAAGTACGTGCTTCGTTTTTTCCGCGGTTTTCTCCTCATGTTCCCGGGCTCCTCGCCTTCCCACGTCGTCTGCCCACGTCGCTCACACAGCGTTCTCGCGAGCGTTGCGCGACCTACGTCGACTTGACGTCCGGTTCGGCGGTTTTATTCATCCCGGGGACCACACCTTCCCGAATGCAGCTCTCCCGAGCCCGGAGAATTCCGCCCCGGCATTATTTCGCCGGGGACGCGGTGATCGATGTGTCGAGTCTTGCGGGATCTCCTCGATTCCTCCCTCGATTCCTCGCGCGAGAGAAACCTGCCTCCCCTCTTCTCCCTCGCTCTCTCGGGCGCGACTTACAATCACGCGTCACGGAATCGGATCGCCCGCTCTCGACGCGGCCCTGATCGGGCCGATGTGTGACGTCAGATACCTCCGCTAGGGGGCCCACTTCCGGCCGTGCACGCACCGCCGTCGCTGCTCTGACTGACGCTGCTGTAGCTCACGTTACTCGCCTGTCCACCCGTCCCCATTCCGGAAATATACTGAAAACAGAATAATCGCGATCATCGTTTTCATCGTGTGTCGCGACGGGGGAGGCGGGGATCCGCTAGAATCGGGGGAATCAGCAGCGTCGAATAATGGGTTTTACGCGCTCGTAATGTGCAAAATCGCTGCGGTTTTCCTCCCTTAATCAAATCTAAAAACACACACACCCACACACATTCGCGCGCGCGTACATACGTGTCCAGCGATCGAGCGAGAGTCGATTTCCGGGGGCGAGAAGCGGCGAATTTACGCGGGCGGAATTTTACGTTCGATTATCCTGTTTTGTCGCCGCGCGCCTCGCCATTACGCGCTTCACTTTCGTGCCAAGAGCATCGTGCGTCTTTTGTTATGGAAGAATTAACGACGTATCTCGCGTCGCGAGTCCTTCGCGAGCTTCCGGTTGCAGGAGGAAAATGAGAAATAACCGATTATCATTAGCGGTCGCAGAGCGTCCGAAGCGTGTCTCACGAAGTTTTAATGGCCCAATCGTCTAATTTATCTTCCGAGCAGGGCGGACTCGACGGTCCTAGTGAGTGCGTTTAAAGGTTCTTTTATGTTCGTCCGTTCGAATGCTGAGGTATTAGGGATTTACAAAAAGTTCGGCGGATTTTCAGCCGTGTTTCTTCTATTAAGGTAGTTGCAACACAAAATGAGTTTTCTTTTTTTTTTTATAGAATCCGTTGAAACTTGTATTATACGACGTCCAGAGAACATCCACAGAATGTCTATCGGATAAAATGGCTGTATGAGTTTAAATATAACCTAATTATTGGCGCAAGTAGGTTGATCATTCGGAAGCTGAAATATTCGCAATTAATGATGACGTTTTTCATACGTATTTCTTGAGATTAATTACGTTCTAATTTTAACTTTTAATTTTAATTTTTTCTAAACCACATTTGGGATTTTTATGAAAATCTACTATGATGTTAAGGACTAATAAAGACATTATATTATATAAAAATTTCAGAATTATTATTCATTTTGTAAAGTTCATAACTTATTGTAACACTTTAATATGTATATGTAGAAAAAGAACAGTTCTTGCAACAGAATAGGGATCGGATGAAAACTTGCTGAGAAAAAATGAAAACTTGGCTGTAAGAAATGATATCTCTGTTACTGTGACTAAGAACGTTTGTGTGAACATTCGACTGTATTAAAACTCGTTTGAAACAACTGAAAACAATTGACTGAGTCGAAAACTCCTGCAGGAATTTTTTTGTTTCTACAACCGAATTCTCATCTGGTCCCCATAAACGCCGCAAAATTCAGTTACACCAACAAAATTGTTTCTTCCATATATATATGTACATATTTAAACATTTTTATACACCTCTCTCTATTATCTGTGTTATCTCTATTAGATCAATTAAAGTATAAAAATAACATTAATAAAAAAATTACAAAAAATAATATTTTCGTATCTGTAATATTGCGTAAACATGTCTATTCCAACTTCGTTTCGAATTGATATTTATTATTTAGGTAGTGAAATAAATACAGGAACGTAATTTTGCTCGACAAATATTAAATTTCTGAGTGGCCTCCATGATGCGCCACTGAAAATACGACACTGTGCGATGCAACTACCTTAATAATAACAGCACATTACACCAAGCTTCAATAGAACTTCAACTTTTGCCAAGTCGAAACCCGCTAGCCTGTCTGATCGTTTCCGCCGATGAAATCGTCATTGGCGATCGGACGAACTTTTGCCAACCGATACTTCCCGTAAAATTAGATATGGAAAAGTCGAGAAAAGTATCGGGAAAAGTGTGTGGGGGGGGACGCTTTCTCGTATCATATCATGGAATATATATTTTAATATCTGCGCACATCTGTGTCCAGTACGGACAGGGGATGGAACGGGTGTGGTGGAGGACTTTCTCGCACGTTCCGTCTATCCGCTGCGAGTTTCACGCGCGTAGCGTTCCGTCGCGTCGTTCGCTGCGCGAATTTTCGCAGAGCTGTCGTCGCCTCACGTTCGCCTATCGCGAAAACTAACCGTAGTACTTTTATCCGACGACGAGCTCTCCTCCTGTCGTCGTCCTAGGGACAATCGATCGATCGGTTTTGCTTCAAACGCAACCAGTCTCGTCCGCGCTCGTTGCTTCCCTTTAAAGGTCGCTACGGATCAGCGACAAGCTTTACACTTCACGCTCATACCCCATGTACTCTCCTGGCTTTGCGCCGAATCGTGCGAATAGTGCGGTCGAAGAGACAACCCCACGTTGAATGGGGGACAGAGAGAGAGAGTGAGTGAGTGAGAAAGAGAGAGAGAGAGAGAGAGAGAGAGCGAGGGGGGGAGAGGAATAGGGAGAGAGACAGAGAGAGGGTCCAGGTGGTTAAACGGTTTTTCGATAGCTCTTGGCCGTAAAGCAAATAATTCAATATTCGCCGGAGCGGCCAACCATGGAAAAAATGTCACCGCAAATGCGAACGAGTCGGGTTTCAATTTTATAGTTTACCGGCAAAGTGAACAAAGTGGACGCGGAGTGGAGGCAAAATGGACCGAACGGACATTAGATTTGCCCGGGTCGTTCGCGTTCGTACGCTCGCGTGTTTCGTTCGAGATTTCCCTCGTCGCTTTTTCATTCGGAAAGGATAAGGATCGGCGAGGATAAGGCTGCCGGGGATATATCGTGTCACCGCGAATGCGCGCGATAATTAAGGATTTTTCCTTTCGGGGGAAGGATTTTTCTCCGGCGAGCGCGCGCTGTATGTGTATATAACAGTGATAATAATACTGGTAATAATGGTAATAATAACTCGGCGCGCAGCCGTATGATCTTCGCGTTCTCGGGATTGGTTACACGGGCGGATGATTTTATATATTACGCGCAATTCGCGCGATAATTCACAGAAAGAGGAGGCATCCCCCGAAGTTTTCCACGCTCGCTTTATCTTTCGCCGTCTCGTCTCTCCCGGGGATAGTGACCGCATCGGAGTTTTCTCGTTTGTTCTATCGGCTACTGTATTCCCCAAGGTCAAATGGTGTTCCTTATTTTTGTCTTCTCTCGCTTTTATGGCTCGATAGCTTCTGTTCGCGAGTCTCGTTTCGGTAACGCGGCCACGAAACTAAAAGTATCTATGTAGGTTATTGGAGATGGTAAGAGGTCGCGCGTTTATTTTAGATTTTTCATACGCAGACACGTGAAATTTACTTTGCATCTTACGATCAAACGTACTGTTCATTTTTTTTCAATCGATATTTCGAAACTTTACGTTTGCATGCATGTATACGTGCGTGCATGCATAGTCGGCTGCAGAAAAAGGTCGTCAGCGCTTTTCATCTCGATGGCTTTCTGCGGGACAGATGAGAATCTTGCGGTCGTCTTCACGATTTTCATACGCTAATCAGCAGAACGGCCTTAATACGCAGTATAAGCAGGATATTAGCTCATAATGCGGTATACGTTTATTCACGCACTCATCATCGTAATGTATTGTACATAAATTGTAATTATAGTGTGTTTATTAGAACTATTATATTGATAGATTACTATTTTGACACGTTATTCCCGCTTCTTATAATAAACAATAAATCAATAATTACGCCCGGTTGGAAAATTCGAATAACTTAATTACATTGCGCATTGAGGCTGTTTTGCCGGTTAACGCGCACGTTCCAAGCGACGCATCGTGAACAAGCGTGTTGCCGTCTTTCTGCTATCGATTTTACTCTAATTAAACGCGTGTACGCGGAATGATTTGCGAGGAGTCGTCGTCGTGAACCACGTGTTGTAGGGACGTGCGCGCGTGAAATGCTCCAATTGTCTAAATTTCGAGTTACGCTTTCGCGGATTGAATCATCTTTCGCATATTTCCTTCCGGCGTATCTAGTTAAGAGAAACACGACTGAAATATTTTGGCGATACGCGCCCGTTCGAGCGGAAAGTTGACGAACGTAACGGAGGTGCACGGAGCTCGGGAAATTTATTTTTATATTCGGAGAAATGGTAGGTAGATACCGACGAAAAGCCGTATGCATCACGTCGCGAAAGTATAAGTGTCGTTACTAATGCCTGCGCATACGTTCGCGTATTTGACGTCGTCAACTTTTACGTCCTTCGAGCAAGCCTCGCTCCAATAGTTGACGATCGTACGAGTAAAGAGAGAGAGAGAGAGAGAGAAAGAGAGGGGGAGAAGGGAAGGAAATTCGCTCTAATACACGTGCATGAAATTTTCGAGTAGAGTTAATTGAAGCGGAACTAATTGAAGGGTTTAAATAGGATTCAGTCAGAGGTGGTTAGGACCGTCGGCTTGCGCTACTGAGGAGAACACCGGAAGAAAAGTACGACAGACCTCGCGCATTTCTCACTATGTTCTATTAACGTCCCTCCGAGAGTGTCACACGAACCGCATCTTTCCGCTAATAAGTGCCGCGGAAAATAACGATTGTTCCCGCTTCGCAGTTATATTTTTATATGTTTTGATCCACTCTCTCTCTCGTATCCTCGGGGACAACAACCGGTATTAATAACGAGCGATATTAAATAACCGCTGGATACCCGACGCGTTCATCTCCTGATCGCGTTTCACATCTGATTTATACATAGACGTTATATATTTTTCCCTCATTTATATTTTCTATATTTTTTCTTCCCGGTACACACCGTTGTTATTTGACAATGAAATAAACCGAACATTGAGGCGCGGGAAAATTGAAGAAAGCGCGAGGTATCGACCCTTCTTTCGAGGTGATATTGCTTGCTCGTCGAACGCGCACGACCGAAGGCCGCAATCTTCCTCAGGGCGAGCGACGAGGACATGGTGTGTCCATATTAAGAAAGTGCGTCTTTAGACAATGAATAGTGCCATGTGCTATGTGCCATGTGCAAGTGCGTGTTTAAGATCAAGTATCACATTCACTATTGAACATACCGAGAGCTTATATTCTACGGGAATGCGTTGATATTCGTTGATGTTCGTTGATCTTTGATATGCGAGGGCCTTTGGTAAACGGATACGGGGTCGTGGTTACCAGTTGTTAAACTATACTGGCTGTTGAACTATACGTTGCACTAAAGACAAAGAGGAAAGTGGGGGGGGGGAGGGGTAGGGAGAGAGCGACGTAAACGAAAATAGAAAGTAAGGGTTTCGTGGGATTCCATGATCAACGATCGACGACCAGCTCGCGATGTGATGATATTCCGTTGTTAAATGTAGGTTTGCTCGCCGGAAGTTTCTCGACTTCCCCGAACATGATGGAGCGAATACGCGGAGTAGTACCGTCCGGATGCGAACTTCTGAAAAAAGCAATATACTGGATACGTTCCCGTTAACCTAATAGTTAGCGCTAATAGTGCTGCGTCGTTAATGACATTACGACACGACGCGTGTCGCTCCGCTCTCCGCATTCCTATCCGAGCTCATTCGCCGAATACCGATAAAATACGTTTCTGTTGCATCTCTACCATCGTGTATCGATGTTCGTTTGCATAAAAGGCAATCCAGGCGACGTGTATTAAGCGCACTTCCGTTCGAAAATTATCATTCGTTAAACGCGCGGAAACAAACGTCGGCTCGCTTCTATTTTTAGAAAATCTTTAATGAAATTGGATTTCACTGAAGTTCTAAATGGAGAGAAATCTCGAAACGTAAATCGGAATAAATTTGATTTAAATTCCAAACAAATGAAACTCGATTTGAAATAATTAACGTTTTAGCAGAGCTACGACAAGCTATGCTTGAATAACCACACCCAATCGTGGTCTGCGTTGTCATTATCGGATAATATAAAATCGTTTTTTTCTCCTTTCGGAATCCATTCCCTTCTAACAGAGTTCAATTTTCGCAAAGTGCACACGCGCTCGCACACACGCATGCACCGAAGTGGCTGTCCCGATCTTCTTCTTCTCAGCATAATGCTGAGTTCGAGTCTTTATTCACGGATAAAACCTGCGAACTTTATCTCTTAATTCCACAGCTTATGCAGGAGCCGCGAAGGAGCTCCCCGACGACGTTAGATGAATTTTGGCAAGATTGTTCTAGCGCGAAATCGAGTTAGCTCTCTGAATCGAAAATTAGTTTCCGAACTGTGTAATCCTAATGTATCGCCTCGAGGTAGAAGTGCGTATTTTCGGCAAAAAAAAAGCGAGTAAACAGCGTGGCTTGGACTCACCTGACTCGGTTTACATCTGAATGCCGGTTGATACCGCCGTCTCATTCGTCTGGGACAACAAACGCATAGAATTCTGACGAAAGCTCTGAAACGAAAAGATAGAATGTATCTCGCAACGTTCGCGCTCATCACGAACGCGCTACGACAAGAGACTCTACGTCGACGGCAAAATACTTAACAAATTCAAGCTTATCGAGCTTGCTCTCTGCGAGGAAAATCGAGAGAGAAGAAAAGCGGAGAGGGTGAAAATGCGACCGATGTGAGAGAGAGAGAGAGAGAGAGAGAGAGCCCGGTTGGCGCGGGTGATCGTGCGAGGAAAATGCTTCATATGAATTTCAATCGCTTTATTCACGCCAACAGCTTTCCGCCGCGTAAACCGCCACGTGCGAATCGGCACTCGAATTCGGACTTCCCCGTTACGCAGCGGGAGGAAGAGAGAAGTATACGTTTATTCGAACGTCACTCGGCACAATGTCGTGATGCCAAATGTGGTTTAACGCCGGGATCGCATGACTGCCATGTTTTTTCAGGCGTCGTGTGTGTACGAATATTTGCATAAAGTCCATGAAAATACGATGGCGATGAAAATATGCGACGATGCGATCGATACTCGCGTGTGCATCGCATCGGTACGTACTTTCGCGCCGTAGCCCTAAGGAATCCGAAATCCCGGGCTGATCGATCAACGCGCGACCCGGGAGGCGGCCGATCTTTGGCAACTCGATGCGATTCGGAATTAGGCTGTCACGTCGCCTGCGGTCTCGGAATATTTTCGAAATTCTCGCGCACTCTCCCTTGCACGAGGTGTGCACGAAGTATGTGTACTGCAAGTGTCGTGTACATGCATTACATATATTTTCGCACATATTATATATATATATATATATGCACATGTGCAAATATAGCGTGAGCCGGTAAGTGGATGATAAACGGATCTCTCTTTGTGAGCGCACAAACGACGTAACGTGATATTTACACTCGGTGACCTTATCCAATTAGATTGCTGCAACTATACTTGCATTTGCGCATCGATACTCGAGTACTCTCGCCGCTCACGGGCGATACACAATTACGCGAATGCCGCATTACGAAGTGGTTCGGACACGAGGCAGCGAGCTTGTCCGGACGACATGGACGACATGGCCGACTGGTTCGGCGGTTCCAATCGAGATACAGCAAGTTACACGCGCTCTTTCTTGCTCGTAACATTAATATCCGCGGTCTCCGGCGTCGTGACGTCGTTGCAGTCGCAACGTGTGTCCGGTCGGTCGAGCATCTTCGAGGAGGTCGTGGAGCGTCGGCGGCAGCAACGCGACGAATCCTCGCGGTTCGTACCCTGCGCGATGAATTTCATCGAGGAGTACTTCGATCAACCGGAATGGGTGTCGTTCGTGCTGCCGGACGAGCCGCAGAACAGCCTCGATCTGGGGGAGCCTTTGATGAACGAGTTGCGCAGGAAGATCCAGATCTACACGCTGAACGTGGGGGCGATAAGCGTGGTAGAGACGTACGAAGGCGCGGTGAACGCCGTTATCCTGTCGGAGAACGCGTCCGCTCTCGAGGGGAAAGACATCTGCCTGACCAATTATTGCAGGCACGAGTGCGATTTCGTGATAGTGCTGACGAGATCGTTCGACGACGAGGCGAGCTTCCTCGCGGAGGCCGACGAGCTAATACACCGGGTGTGCCTGCGATCGATCTTCGAGCTCGTGATATTGGCGTTGGTCGGGGATTCGGCTGTCATCGCCGGCAGCCCGTCGTCCCGGACCGACGGCTTGTACACGGCGGCCGACGCGGCAGTTCTGGCTACGTGTCAGCGGGGAGACGCCGACAGCGTGGCTCGATGGCAGCACAACGAGAAAACGTTTCACGGCGAGGAGATCGTGAACGTGGCGATGTTCCAGATCTTCCCCTACGCGGTGACGTTGCACTCGAGCTTCGGCGGCCTGAGATTCGGCGGGATCGAGGGCAGGATGGTCGAGGAGATCGCGCGCAGCGTGAACGTCCCGCTGAACAGGGAGACGATCGAATGGACGAACACGGTCGTGGTCGACAGCGAACTGCGATCGAGGCTCTACGATATGATGAACGTCGACGTGGTGTTCGGCGGCTTCCTGTGGAATTACAGCTCGAAGATAGAGTACACTAATTCCTACGGCATGGTGCACATCGCGTGGATGGTGCCGATCCACGAGAACGTTTCCCTGCGCGGCCTGATAACGCCGTTCAATCCGAATGTCTGGTACGCGATCATTTGCTCCTTGATCCTCGGCGGGCTCGTGAAGTACTTCTTCATCCGCGACATCACGTTCCTCGACATCTCCGGGATGGTGCTGGGCATAGTGGTCAACCGTCAACCGGTCAAAGCCTCCAGCAGGATCCAGTTTGTGGCTTGGGTCTTGTTCGGCTTCTTCATCACGCAGCTTTATCTAGGCTCGTTGGCCGAGCAGCTGATGAACGCTTCGGATGCCCAGATAGAGACCTTGGAAGAACTGTTGGGCTCAAGTCTGACGATAGGCGGCACCGAGCAATTGGCGAATCTGCTCCGCACACCCGATGAGGACGACAATGAGCATTTGGTGCGGATGTTCAGCGAGAACTTCGTCAGCTTCGAGGAGGACGTCTACAATGACCTCGTGGCGGATATCAAAACGGGCAGGAACGGCACCGTCGCCCTGCTCGTGATGTTGAATCTGACCGACGTGCATCGAACGGCCAATATAGGATACGCTCATATCGTGGCAGAGACCATAGGCACTTATCCGCTGGCGCTCGCCACTTGGCGAGGCTTCCCTTATTTGAGGGAATTCAATTTCAAGATCCAGGTGTGCCTGCAAACCGGCCTGGTGAAATATTGGGCGGAAAAAGTGATGTTGGACACTAACTATTACCAGGTGGAGAGCGACGTTGACGATAAGACCCACCTCGATCTTCAGGATATTATTCCAGCCTTCCTGCTCTTGTTTATAGGATTCGCCGGCGGACTTCTGTTGCTCATCGTAGAGATTCTGTTCTATCCGTCGCCGAGGTTGCTATGAGCCCGTCTCCGTTCGTCCAAGTTCTCAGATGTCTCGTCTTATTCGATCTCGATACGGAGAGATGACGTCGCCGATGTTCGCTCGTTTCCAAAGACACCTTCTCGTGACATCCCGAAGAGAGAGATTTTCCTGGCGGCGCGATAACTATCCGGGCTCATTAACTGTTCGTAATAAGTCTGTCGAGGTCCCGTGGAATTTTTAAACGCGCTTCTCAGATAGAACAACGCGGCGCGGCGAGTTAATTAGAAAAGTTCTAAGCTAATTCCATTAACTCTCCTCCACCACCTTCTCTCTTTCTTTCTATTTAGCGCGCCGAAGGAAGTGAAACTTTGGAAATGTCGAGAATTCGCGCGGCTGCAATATTGGTCCCCCGGATCCGGATTTCCCTGTGAACGACGCGTCGTTTGGCACCGCTTCCTGATTACTTGCAACGCATTTTACGCGAGAAACCCTATAATTTATGGGTATAATGATTTAATTAGTATAATTTTCCTTATCCTGAAGCTAGCTTCAATTACAAGTATTGCTACAAATATTAAAATTGTCTTCGACAAGATCGCAAGCCTATATCTATGGAAGTGTCAGTCGCTTTAGAGAGAGAGAGAGAGAGAATATTTTTTTCTTGACACTTTTTTAAAGCTTTCTTGCTATAACATCGATAGTCATTTAATACCGATGGCCAATATTCGGCCAGCTTCCGGATGCGGATGTATGCGTTTCCGCACGTGGTCATCGCGAAAAAATTCAAAAACATCGTCGGAATTCTATTCCGCTATTCAGTCTCGGATTTCGATTTGATTAAATTCGATATCATACCTCGATACCTACACCCGACCTTGTACGTGATTGGCCGTTATTGGATATTTTAACAGTATTTGCTTTCGTAGGGAGCGCACACGCGACCGGTGGAAATGTTAGATACACCTGCTAACTTCTGACAACGTCGCATCCTAAAGTTCTCGTGCTCTTGTCGATTACGATGTTGCAGGGGAACGTCGTTGCTTTCGTACGACTACTTGTAGATTAACGTGCGACTACACCGGGGGAGGAAGGGGGGGGGGGACATATCGGAAATCATGGCGCACCCGGGAGAGGGGGGGAAGAAAGGCAGGCGATTCCCCATGCAAACATTAATCGGAAATGTGGGATAAGATTTTCCGCAGGGCTTCGTTTTCAGGAAGATTGACTTTGAAGATCCGCCGGATAGGCGCGCGCTTGACTAATAAATAAGGCGCGGCTTATCGGATCTCTCTCGCCATATACACACAGTCATTTCTGCTCGCGTGCGACGCCTCGATCCGGTTCAAAGGTGATAGGCAGTAAATACCGGTGACGCGCGTTTGTTTCCGTTAATTTACAAATTGCTGAAAATGTCATCGCCGCCTTTACATGCAAATCCGCGCGTGTCAGACAAGAGAGAGAGAGAGAGAGAGAGAGAATCATGAACCGCTGGTAATCGATGGCCCCTCGCCCTCTACGAATGCCTGTATGATATTGTCTCCTAAATCACGGCGGTGTACGCAAACACGAGAAGAGATACAGTGACGCATGACGAGAGATCCGTTAAGCCGAGTATTATTATTAGTCAAGCGCGCGCAGATCCGACGGATTTCCAAAGTCAATTTTCTCGAAAACGAAGGCTCGTTCGCACAGGAGGAAAGAAGGAAGAAGAAAAAGAGGGTAAAATTTATCCCCGCGGCATTTTTGCATTTATTTCCGTCACGAGGAATCGGAGCTCCTTTCCCGTACTGTGATAGATACCCAGATTTCCGATCCCCGTATATATCGTATCGTATGCTGAACATTGTTCGACGCTCGAGACTATATTTCCGCTTGCGTCGATTTACATGAGACGGATTTCAAACGCGATTCTGTACTACCTTGCTACTTCTCTATGAACCGACATCACCGCGCTGTGTGCGCGTGTTAGTCTAATTTATGATTGATTCGTGCAGTCGCTTTGGGAGTTGCAAGCAAGCAAGCGTGATGTCTGTCCAAGCATTGCAAATCCAAGTGTGTAACTTTACACATTTTGCGTAGTCACTTT